AGAGGCTGGCCGCCGCCCGGGAGCGCGCCTCCCACCGCGCCGACGACGCCACGCACCGGGCCCACCGGGCGCAGGACGCGCCCCCCGGCCGCCGCCGGCGCTCGCCCGCCGCGTCGCAGGCGTCGGCGACGCCGCCGGCAGGGGAGTTGGGCCGAGCGAAAGGGCGGAAAAGAGTTACCCCGGGCCCGAGTTACCCCGGGCCCGAGTTACCTCAGATATCTTGGGCGTCCAGAGCCCCAGATCATCAGGGGTAACTCGGGTCAGGGCTAGCTCGGGTTCGTTTTCCGGGGGGAATTCAAAAAACCCGAGTTCCCGTGGGCCCGAGTTGCCCCGGATATATCGGGCGCCCAAGTCTGTCCCTGCTGAAACCTCGGGGGCGGAGAAGAGGGGGGTGATGACTAGGGGGGGGTGGATATCATGGCGGGGCCATGGTATTTCCCCAGATTTTATAGCGCCTCTTCTTGTTTCATTGCGTCCCTGGCCCCCCCGCTGGGCCGCGCACATGCCGCCGGTCATGATGATTTGCACCCCCCCCTCTTGGACACCCCCCTCCTTGCCGCTCCCGAGAAAGAGGGGGATGGGGAAAGGGGGGGGTACGAAATCTGCTGCATGCAGCCGGTTTCGGCCCCGCCACCGGGCCCGTTCCTCGATGCAGGCGCCCCTCGGCGGTGGGAGGCGCCGGGAAAATCAGCCGATTCGCCCTTTCGCCCGGCCCGAGGGAGGGGCCGGCTTTGCTGTTAGTTCGAGCCTGCCCCTCTACAGGAGGAGCATTCAAAACAAGTAGAAAAATAGTCGGGGGACGATTAGTCTTGCCATTTCTGTTACCATTTCTGATTGCGATTTTAGTGTTTGATGTTTTTGTGCGCAGCTCTGGACTAGTATCTGTTTGTCACGCAGAATCCGCCTGTAGGAGGACATGCCCGACCTAACTTTGCTGGTGGGGCAGCTTTTGGCGGCGGGCCCAAGAGCGACTGACCAAGACAGGACTCAAGAAGAAAGGCCTTTGGATGGCGAGGGTAAGAGAACACGGGGCTGTGGGGGTCTAGTGCTCCTCTGTAGGGTCGGAGTAGATGGGGTCTGAGGATCGCGCCGCATCGCGGATGCATCGGCGATTGCGGCTCGACGTGGAGCCCGATGTGTTTCATGTCGACGTCGCCGATGTCGACGACGCATACCGCCCCTGCATCGCCGATGTCGTCGTCACCGCAACATGTTGGTGCTATGTGTGCGTCGCCCCCTCTGGAGCGACGCGCGCACCGAGACGTTCTACATGATTAGCTCCGTTGCAGGCGGGTTTTGGCCATACCGTTCGGGAAGCGATACGCACAGCATGTTTGTACTATAGGTTCGGGTCGGACGCACGCCTCCAAGGAGGACATATGGTACTAGCATGTCCTCCTGCGTCCCACTATACTGTAGGCCCCCCCCAAAAAAAGAAGGTTCTAATCATCTTTTGTGGTTTGCGCGGGATGTTCTTAGACCATTTCTGGTTGAGACCGTGCTACTTTCATCCATCGGTGTTGTGGTCTAAGATCGTTGTTATAGCATTTGAGCGTTCAAGCATTCCAAGGTAGGCATACAGGAATGCTAGAACGGTCTGTCAGAGCCCCGAATCATCAGGGGTAACTCGGGTCAGGGCTAACCTGGGTTCGTTTTCCTAGAACCCGAACCCGAGTTACCCCGGGCCCGAGTTACCCCAGATATCTTGGGCGTCCAGAGCCCCAGATCATCAGGGGTAACTCGGGTCAGGGCTAGCTCGGGTTCGTTTTTTCGGGAGGAATTCAAACCCGAGTTCCCGTGGACCCGAGTTGCCCCGGATAGCTCGGGCGCCCACGTCTGTCCCTGCTCCAACCGACGCCGCCGTCGTTCCAGGGTTGGGCTTGGAGCTGGCTGGGTGTCTGCCGACGAAGGCATCTATACACCACCACCGTGCCAGGCCAGGCCCATCCTGGGCCCCAGGATGGTGTATAGACCCTCTTGGCCTCGGCCAGGATGGCGTATACACCATCCTAGGGCCCAGGATGGCCCTGCCTTGGCACGGTGGTGGTGTATAGATGTCTTCTGCGAATGTCTGAGGGGGATTGACTCGCACTGGTTCCTGCCAGCAGGGGAGCCGTCCCAGGGCAGTCTTCGGACCCTGCGGTTCCGTCGGGCCTGTCCCTCTACGGGAGGAATCTTCAAACATAGCCAAATAATTGTATGGGGACGATTCTTTGTATGTTTGACCATTTTTGTATTTTTGTGGGCTGCCTTTTCCACAAAAAATCCGCCTGTAGGAGGGCATGCCCGACCTACCCCCTGGGGCCATCAACGACGGATCCGGGCAGGTATTGGCCAAGTGGACCCCTGGAGAGGTCCGGGGATCCACTGCGCAGGCCTAGCGGCCGGTGCCGCCGACCCTGAAGGGGGGAGGACGACAAAGACATCAACGATGAAGAGATTCAAAACGCTCGGGAATGGGAGGGAGGAGGAGAGAGGGACGGAGGAGGTGAGGAGGGCACCGATCGTGACCGAATCGGGTTTAAAAATTATCCTGGCGAAGGTCCCAACCATATGCAGTAGTGGGTACCGTAATTGTGAATATCTTCTTCGGTGAAGCTCCCTATGGGGCCACGAAGCTCGGGCCAGGCAAAAGGGGGGGGATAGGGAAAGGGGGGGGTACGAAATTTGCTGCATGCAGCTGGTTTCGGCCTCACCGAGGGGCCCATTCCTCGATACATAGCCGCCTGCGGCGCCGGGAGGCGCCAGGAACATCAGCTCCATGAGCTGATTCTCAAACCCCCCCTTTGCTATCCCCCCCTCTCGCCCGACCCGAGAAGCGCTGCACTGGGCGGGGGGAACGCTGTACTGTGTGGGTGGTGTGCCGCAAGTGGGTTTCCGGGACGCATGCGGACGGTCCCACTGAGGGCTTCGGTGGAGCTCCCTATGGGGCCACGAAGCGCTCTACTGAGCGAGTGAAAATGCGGAATTGGGTTACCGGGACGCGTGCGGACGGTCCCACTTCCGTGGAGCCTCTTATGGGGCCACGAAACGTTGCACTGCGCGAGTGAAAATGCCAAATTTCATTTCACGGACGCATGCGAACGGTGACACTGAGGCCTTGAGTGGAGCCCCCATTATGGGGCCACGAAACGCTGCACTGGGTGGGTGAGAATGCAACATTGGGTTTCCGGGGCGCATGCGGACGGGGGCACTGGGGCCTTCGGTGGAGCTCCCTATGGGGCCACGAAACGCTGTACTGGGTGGGTGAAACGCAGAAACGCTGTACTGGGTATGCGGGACGCATGCGGACGGTAGCGCTGGGACCTTCGGTGGGGCCCCCCTATGGGGCCACGAAACGCTGTACTGGGTGTGCGGGACGCATGCGGACGGTAGCACTGGAACCTTCGGTGCGGCTCCCTATGGGGCCACGAAGCGTGTACCGGGTAGGTGAAACGCAGGGAGGAGGGGGAGGAGGGCCACGAATCGCTGTACTGGGTGTGCGGGACGCATTCGGACGGTAGCACTGGGAGATTCGGTGGAGGTCCTTATGGGGCCACGAAACGCTGTAATGGGTGTGCGGGACGCATGCGGACGGTAGCGCTGGGACCTTCGGTGGGGCTCCTTATGGGGCCACGAAACGCTGTACTGGGTGTGCGGGACGCATGCGGACGGTAGCACTGTGACTTTCGGTGGGGCTCCCTATGGGGCCATGAAGCGTTGTACTGGGTGGGTGAAACGCAGGGAGGAGGTGGAGGAGGGCCACGAAACGCTGTACTGGGTGTGCGGGACGCATGCGGACGGGAGCACTGGGTCCTTCGGTGGAGGTCCTTATGGGGCCACGAAGCGCTGCACTGGGTGTGCGGGACGCATGCGGACGGTAGCGCTGGGACATTCGGTGGAGCTCCCTATGGGGCCAGGAAATTTTGTACTGGGTGTGCGGGGCGCATGCGGACCGTAGCACTGTGACTTTCGGTGGGGCTCCCTATGGGGCCACGAAGCGCTGCACTGGGTGGGTGATACGCAAGGCGGAGGGGGAGGAGGGCCACGAAACGCTGTACTGGGTGTGCGGGACGCATGCGGGCGGTAGCACTGGAAGATTCGGTGGAGGTTTTTATGGGGCCACGAAACTTTGTACTGGGTGTGCGGGACGCATGCGGACGGTAGCGCTGGGACATTCGGTGCGGCTCCTGATGGGGCCACGAAGCGCTGCACTGGGCGTGCGGGACGCATGCGAACGGTAGCACTGGGACCTTCGGGAGGGCTCCCTATGGGGCCACGAAGCGCTGTACTGGGTGGGTGAAACGCAGGGAGGAGGGGGAAGAGGAGGACCACGAAACGCTGTAATGGGTGTTGAGGACGCATGCGGACGGTGGCATTGGGACCGTCGGTGGAGCTCCCTCTGGGGCCACGAAACGCTGTACTGGGTGTGCGGGACGCATGCGGACGGTAGCACTGGGACCTTCGGTGGGGCTCCCTATGGGGCCACGAAGCGCTGTATTGGGTGTGCGGGACGCATGCGGACGGTAGGGAGGAGGGGGAAGATGAGGAGAAGGAGGAACGCGGGGACCGTCTCTTCAAAACAAGGACCCAACACCACAGGATGGTTGGGAAAAATCAAAAGTTAACGAATGGGAGGGAGGCGGAGAGGGGCGGAGGAGGTGATGGGGAAGGGTAAGAGGAGGGACCTGTGTGGACCGAATCTGGTCTAATCTCCCCCTCGCCCGATGGATGTTCGCTCGGGGCGCAGCCGGTCCAGAGACCCCTCGGCCGCCTCTCCCCGAGACTGGGCGGGGTGCGTGTGGTCGAGGCATGACGCATGACGATGACGACCACGACCAAGACGTCGCGGGATCTTTTTTGCCGACGCCGCAGTGTAGGGACGTCTCCTACTATTACTTCTACTACTATCACTATCAATACCACTACTACTACTACTACTACTACTACGACTACTACTACTACTACTACTACTACTACTACTACTACTACGACTACTACTACTACTACTACTACTACTACTACGACTACTACTACTACTACGACTACTACTACTACTACTACTACTACTACTACTACTACTACTACTACTACTACT